GAAGTAAAAAATAATTTTTAAAAAAATGGTAGGGTAAATATAATGAAAATAGATGCCTTCAAAATGATTTGAAGGAAGAAAAACAAAAGAAGTGTTCAAAAGGCTGAAGTCACGGACGGTGTTTCTCACATTATTCATTTTATTTTTCGATGATCATCCTGTCTCAATTTTTACTCATCTCAATTAATTTTCTGAGATGCTTAATACTTGAAAACTCAATTCTCCAATTTGATTTTTCTTAACGAGAGGTAACGAGTATTATAATATCTCAACCTTTATTGTTTAATACTTGAATTCCGTTCTTTGATTTTGAGACTTACCGAAGCGAAGGCCTTATTATTTTTGCTTAGTTATGATATGTGAAAGTTGATTTTGATACTATCTTACGAACACAACACTATGTTAATAGTTCAAATGAAAGATGAAAAATTATTCATCTTATTAACTATCGACATGAAACATATCATAATTATAAAAATCTGATTATATTTATTTAGTTAAGATACATGTTAGCTGATTCGGACATTACGAAAACATATTATGAGAAGAGGAAGTGAGTGTGCAAGTGTGTAGTTGACAGTAGAAAAGAGGTCAGGGCTCTGAAGTCAATGTACAGCTCAATATGCTTTGAAATTGAAATTCCCACTCTTTGGCCACTTTTGATGCTGACGCCCTAAATTCCACCAATACACCTTTTTTTCTTATCTAAAATTGACAATTTGTAAGTTGTATTTTTCTCAATTACCCAATCAACCATCCCCTTTTCCCCTCCTACCCTAACCTCACTCTCTTTTACGAGTTACGAATTCAGAATTTAAATTATATGTTTTATCATAAGCTTACACACACTTAATCCTCTTCAAAGTCCTTACTCAATGAGATTTCACTAAATTTGTAGTTGTTGTTGAGATTCTATTGTAATTTCAAATTAATATATATATTATTAGGTTTCTTAATATTATACCTACAAGATTTGAATAAAAGATATTCGAAATTTTCATGAACCTATAGATTATACTTAAAAACTCGTTATTGATATTAGATATATGTTCAGAGCCTCGAGTAATTAACATTTTACCAAAAGAAAATTTGGACTCGAAGTATTTAGTTCAGAGTGAATAATCATATAACATACTCGGTGGAATTTCAATACTTAGGGTTTGAAGAGGATATATAAAGTGTACCAACACCTTATCACTATTTCGTAAATGTAGGGATCTAAAAATCCTCGTATTTAAGAGTAAGAAGGATTATATTCATTTCACGACAAACCTCGCGTCATAAAAGAGAAAGAGAGGAAGAGTCTCTTTTTTTTTAGTGTTAAAAAGAGAAAAAAAGGAAAGACTTGAAGGCTCAAACAATAGCAAAATTACTTGTAATCTTTCTTCACCTTCCCCATTAGCCTTGTTTTTCACTCCAAAACAAACTTTGCTTTTTTTTTTTTTATTCTTCTTTCTTCTTCATCTTGTTGTTGATTTGAGATAGTAACAATGGAAATCAATTCAAGAATTCAAGATAGAGAGAACCCATCTTCCATAAACTCACCAAGAAGCAATGGAACAAGTCCTACAAGCAACAGCAATGGATCAGTTATCCAAAATCCAACCCCACCACTGACCCCAAAAACAATTTCTAGATCTGAAACAACTAACCCATACCCAACAACTTTTGTTCAAGCTGATACATCTTCTTTCAAACAAGTGGTTCAAATGCTAACTGGATCATCTGAAACTTCTGCGAAACAATCATCTGCTTCAGATCCATCTTCTTCTTCAAATTCAAATTCAAATTCAGCAAAAAGTTCAATTCCCCCAATTCGAACAGCACCGAAGAAACCTGGGTTCAAGCTTTACGAGAGGAGAAACAGTTTGAAAAATGGGTTTATGATTAGCCCTTTGATTCCTGGAATTCATCCTCAGAATTCGAGTTTTTCTCCTCGGAACAAACCGGAGATTCTCTCACCCAGTATTCTAGATTTTCCTTCACTTGCTTTAAGCCCTGTTACGCCATTGAATGAAGACCCATTTAATAAATCATCACCATTAACGAATCTATCTGAAGAAGATAAAGCTATTGCTGAGAAGAAGTTTTATTTGCATCCTTCACCAAGAAGAACACCGAGAGACTCTGAACCACAGCTTTTGCCTCTGTTTCCGGTGAGTTCTCCTAGAGTTTCAGGGTCTTCTTCTTGAAAGTGAAAATTTTCAGTGATTTGTGCTGCTGCTGTGAGAAGGAGAAGAATTTCACCAACAAAAAAGGTAGAGATCTTAGTTTCAATTGTATAATTTGATCTCCTTTTTTCATCCATTGTTTCAGAAACAGATTAAAACGAAGAAAACTGAAATAAACAACTTTTGTTCCATACTTTTTCGATGATTCCTTTAGTAAAATTACGCAATTTCATAGTGTGAACACAAAATAACAATAACGTATTCAGAGAAATTTCACTAACTCGAGTCGAGTCAGGTACAGTATATAGACCTTATCAGTGAGGTAGAAATATTATTTTCGAGAATTATAGTCCAAAGAAGTGTACCAAAAACCTATGGGTAGAGTCACCACATTATAAGAGTTTGAGTTTCAACCAATCACGATTATCGTCATGGACTCACATTTAACCTAACCACGAGCTCATGAATCGCGGTTAAACTCAATGAGATTCATTAGTGCGTCGTGGTTTAGTCAAATGGAAAAGTTAAAAAGCCATAAAAAAAAAAAAGCGAATTCAGAAATCAAATTATCGTAATTCCCTTAAAGTTAAGAAATTCAAACCAAAACAATACTTAAGTCATTTGAGCTTACAAGGCTATTTTACAAATTATTTTTTTCTTCTATTTTACACAATTTTTAGTGTTGCATGAAAAGAGATTCAATCTTTTTGTGGTGTTTTTAATGACTTTTACAACTTTTATCCAAAAATAATAGAGTAAAGGGTGTTCTCATTTTAAGAATATAGCATAATAACTAGTGTTTTGATCATAAAAAAAAACACGAATTTTCAAGTTTAAACTTCAGAGTTTACGACAAAACGAGAACTTAAATATATGCTAGTAATGGTGGAGGTATCAAATTCGTATTCTTTTTGCCAATATATATAATACAAAGAGTGGGAATAAGTGATGAGTGATTATTACAATTAAAAAAGTGTGTAATGGTAGGATCAAATTCATATTCTGCATTATCTTATGAGCATATATGCACATATACACTTAGAAAAAAGTGTTAATGATTCTATGATTATTAAATATTTTAATGGATTAAGATACTTGGATTCACTAATCAAAGTCATCATGCACCGTAAATATGCTTCAAAGAATGTAGGATTTTGGGGAGTTAGAGGGTTAAAGAGAATATTTGAAGGAAAAAAAAACATGGGGTGGGGGTAATGAATTCAACTTTATCCACTATAATAATAAAATCACATATTCATCTTATTAAAAGTGATCAAATTTTATTCGATTTAGTTTAACACTAAAAGTTTAGTGTTATGTACGAGAAAATAGTTTTATTACTTCACTGTTAAAATGAATATTGTATCAGAGTTGAAGACTAGCGCACTTGGTGAATTCTTTTCCTTTCACTTAACGAAATAGAAAGTTCAAATTTCATTGGGAGCGTAGTTTTTCCTTCTCCTTCCGCTCATATAATAAAAGAGATTTAAAGAAGCTTTGTAACTTAATTTCGAGGTTTGAAAATGAAAAAACTTGTCATAACAACATCCAAATTAATCAAGCTAGTGAATTTTGAATAACGAACATAAGAGTAAAAAAAAAAGAGATAAAGCAAAGTCAATGACTTGGTTGTATTCACTTGCCAAAGAAATTGAAATACTATTTGCTTGTGCTTCTTTCAAAAAGAAATAAAAACTAATCAAGATTGTGGTAGAGTGATCGATACATATTTATCTATCAATATAAAATCGTCTTTGTTAGAAAACACATCATTCTTTAATTTGAGACTTTTCTAACATGAATTCAGCTTTAGTTGAATATAAAACACCGAGTCGGAAACGAAAACGACATAGTTTTTGTTGATGGGATGAGATTAGACCCTTCAATTATTCCTAAGATGGACTAATCAAATCATGAAGATATTAAAAAGAATCCTTTTTTTGCTAAAATGATTGAATGTTTGATTCATATTCAGCCATAAAGTCTCAATTATAAACATAATGGGCCCCACTTTTTCTTATGATATTTTTATTTTTATTTTTTATCATTTTTAATGTTCCAAAAGATTTTTCATTTTTTCACTGTCATTTTCTTGGGATCCTTATACTTTTTCCCACACACTTCAAATCATAGTGTTTTCTAGGACTTGTAGCTTTCTAAATCTTAAAATATACTAGGATTAAAAAAGAGTAATATTTGCTCTTTTATTTATCGAAAATAAATTATTTTTATCCTGTGTTATATTTTAGAACAAATTATATCTTGCGTTATATTTTTGAATCAAATATATGAAGGTACTCCACTCTCTAATAATGAAATTTAATTTCCTTTTTAAATGCCTAAAACAAGTAGTAAACAGTTGCATGGATATAAATTGTCTTAATAAGCTAAAATTAATATATATATATATATATATATATATATATATATATATATATTTATCATATTAAAAAATAAAAATATATCGCATAAATTAGGACAGAGAACGTTAATAAACCCATACTAACACTATGTTTGGATCATTGTTATCCATTGTATTATCTTGTATCGTTAATATACCTATAATGTTTGTTTTGATTGTTACTTAAAATTTATTGTAGTGTATTGTTAAATTTCATTGTTACGTAACAATAAAAATCCCTATTTTATGAAACAACCAATTTGGCGTGTTCCCATTGTTACTTGATTTCTTTTTCCAATTATATCTTTACATAGTATTTCAAAAATACAATTTTACCCTTTACCTTAATTATTTAAATCTAGTCAAACCTCCTATCCTAGAATAATTAAGTATATTTTAGTAAATTTATGAATTACAATACAATACGATCAAACCAAACAATTAAAATGTTATTAAACAACAAAAAATACAGTCTACTCAAACATCGTATCTACCGTACAGTACAATAGAGTACAATACAGTACGATACATTATGAAACAATGGTAATAATGATACAAACAAAGTGTAAGGGTCTTTTTTTACACAATCTGTCAATTACTAGGTAAATACTTGCAACTCGAAAAATATTACTTGATCACATATCAAAATTTAATTAAAAATGTAAAAAAATCTTTGCACAATGTATACATAACTTAAATCATTTCATTTAAAACAAATAAAAATTAAGTAATATTTTTCATTGATAAGTTTCTGTCTGTTGACTTGTAACTTACCAGTTGTTGCAGTATGAGAGGGGAAACAATAAGTGGAGCTGATTATGATTGAAAAACTAGAAAAAAAATGAAAAGATAATAGTTAGAAAAAGACTTCTATTTTGTCCAATCTTTTTGTGTACCACACAAGATTTGCAATTTCTTTTCACCTTTTTTTTTTTTTGTAAAAAAAAAATAAAAAAATTGTCTCTTGTTAATATAATATCATAGGATTCCTTTGCTTTCTTATTCATTCCTTCTAGTCTCGATAGGGATTGGAATCTCGAGAAAGTGAACTTTGACAATAAGTAAATCAGGCAAATTACGATATACAAACTAAAAATAGATTCTTGCTCAAACAGATATAAATAATGAATTCTTCAGAGTGAACTGATATGCTAAACATACAAAACTCTATCGAGATCTCCTGTTAGTGGTGCAAGAGTAGAAGTGTCGTACCTCAACAAAGTGTTCACTGTTTTTTCGCGAGTTTATATTCCATCTGCTGTAAGATTAGATGGATAGAAAACATGCAAATCACCTCATTATAGTAGAAATGGAACTATGAAAGCACCAATCTCAAAGGAATTGTTTTCATAAGATAAAACTTAATACCATCTCAATTCAACAAGAGAAAGGAGACTGATTGACACAAATACTAAATCGTAACACACAGAAAGTACATACGAGCTGCAGTATAAGACTCGATTGGCTCTACTTTTTTTACTAGAGAAACGATTGATCAACTCACAACGTTCTTTTATTATGTTAAAATACTGCACCATATATGGAAAATGTTAACAGAATGACACGTCTCATAGTTAGATCTCCGAAAATGATCTAACTGTCCAGAACCCGTGCTTATCTGGAGGATGTCCGTTTCTTGGTCTAATAGAGATTTATCACAGAGAAAGCGAGAAATCTCACATTTTGTAAGTTGTTTTCATACAAAATGAACAGGATGTTACCTGCTGTCTGCTGTCGCTTCTTGATAGATCTCTGATGAATAATCTACCTAACGACGCTGTAATTTCAAATGAAAAAAAGGACCAAATTATGAAAACCCACTGAAAGGTAGAAATTTACCCTACTGTTGCATCGAAAAATCCAGAGAAATATTTTCAAATGACTTCATGTTTTGTGCGACCAAACAAAAGTCTCTGTGCAATTCTGCTGCCACTTCAGTATATGTACACCTGAGAAAAAAAAAAACTAGTTAATCTGACAGGTAGATGGACACCTCCGTTATGATAATGAAGAAGAAGAAACCATTTAAACCATGCAGCACGATGGAGCCTTTCAAGAAGAAACAGAGCTATCATTGATGATAACAATTGTTTTCATTTGCAACAAAATTTGGATACAACTAGTGAACTAGAGATTACTAAAATGAGGAATGCAGTGTACGGAAACAAGGGAAAGATGAAAGAAACCTTGATGCCTGAAGCAGTTCATTTCTGAAGAGCTGCAGGTATATCGTCAAAAACAAGTCTCTCTAACGCATTGCTCTGGAACCCAGTTTGCCAAATACGTCCCCGAGTATTAGAATATGAAGTAAAGCACTGATTGTATGTAACTATCAGATGAAACCATATTATATTTACATCTATTTGAGGCCTAGGAGAAATTTAATCACAACTGTCCTCACCTGTAACTCTTTCAAGGCAGTGATCTTGCAGTCAGTTTTAATCATTGCCTCAACATTAGTGACCAAAGACATAATTATCTCCATTTTCCCAGCAGCATCATACGGGATACACACAGCACCAGCAACACCATTTTCCAGGTCTTGTTGCACCTGAAAGAACATCACAAAGGAGGCAAGATTATAAAAGGTAGCACAAAGAATTTATATTATCTGATATATTTGCCATTCTTAATGTCCTTCAAGCATATCACTAGTTTGACTACTTTTCAGCTAACTGTCACCTTACGGCAAGACTTCTCTATTCCCTGTTTAAAATATAACCTATCGAGTTTACTCTTAAAACCCAAATTTGATTACACGATGGAGTGAATAATAATTGAACCGTATTTAGTGACGAGTATTTTTGTATGGAATGTCCTCCTTACACTTGTAGTAGTAGCTGTTATCATTTAAGGAAAACCATTTTTTATAACTGGAAGGAAGACCATATATATAGGTAAAGGTGTTTTGTTTTTGTACATTAGTAATGATCAAGAACTTCTCCTGCATAATTCCAGACTCATCCACGAAAGACAGAGAGGAGGGGATAATGTTTTTCTTGGTTCCTAGTATCAGATGTGCCTAGTATATTTTGGTATGTTATATGGGCTAATTGTTTATTTCTAGACTTCTGTAGTGAACCCCAGACCATTTGTTGTAATTAAGAGAGCTGATTAGCATACATATTGAACTATGTTTGGAACTTCAAAAGTAGGATTATCATGGGAGTGGACTAATTCTCTTTACTACAAATGATAACACTTCAAATTCTAAGAAAAAAATTATTGCGAAAACCATTTTTTGTTGGTTAGTAACTAACCTGTATGGCAAGGATATGAAAGCACAGTGCCAGATCAATGCTAAAGGCAGAAAACTGGTTGACTTATAGATACACATTACGCTGAAGCTAATAAAGAGAACATCTAGAGTTTCCATTGAAGACAAGGAATTTGAAACTAGATCAGGATTTCTCTTACTAACCCGAAGTGGTCCTCAAGGGAAGAGATAGTAGGTCTGAGCTCTTTGTGCAAGGTAAACATCTCTTTGCCCATGCAATTAGTTTAGTTTATATTTTATTGCCAAAACAATATCGATTTACACTTCACATACAATGGGCATGTCAGAAAAAAAAAATTGTTAGAGCAGATAAAAGACTAATCTAGTGGAAAGTACAAGCGTCATCATGCTGAAAGTGTTCCCACTGCTTATCCACCGTAAGCTTCCAAAGATGAAGGAAAAAAAAATGAATCTATGACTTCTCTTCCTATCTTCTAAGGTAGAGTAAGTTCTGCAGCCAATCTTAATAGCTTGACATAACTTGTTAAACTAAACCAGCCGTTCGCTTAATGGCCAACCCCTTTTTGGGAACTGAACCCAAAATAAAAATGTATAAAGGAACCTAAGCCATTCTCTTCCATGTGTTGTTACAACAGCTCTATAAATAAGAACTATTCTATAAATTTTCCTTTTCTTATAGGGGGGCAGGATATCTACTGCAATTAATGCTTTACGTATTTTATTAAGCCAAACCAGTCTACTTTCTTCCATGTACTGTTACAACTTCAGCAGTGAATAGGAACCACAGACAGCGACCAGATTTTCTGATGATAATATTGGGAAATTGAACGAGTGATAATTATACATGTATTTTGCTAACTTGCAAAAGGGGAACTGTAAGCCTTGATATTATAGTGTTCACAGCCAAACTAAAAACTGGAATGAAATTAACATACTTAAAAAAATTCCTAAAAAGCATCTAAAAACAAAGTTAAAGCAGAACTCAAAACATAAACAAGTGCGATAGACAAAGGGAGTGACTTTTAGAAGAGGGAGAGCCAGAGAGGCATATGGCTTCAGTAAGAGATTCTGTGAGTTTTCTACATGCTTTCATATGCAGTGTTCTCAATGGTAGGAATTACAAGTTCATCATAGTAAACACGCCCTTGAATTCATTTTATCATTTCAATATAGGTAATCTGTCAAATAAAGCAGCAATGAATAGTGAATGAGATGAAAAATGACAATAGGTTTCAATAATTTATCATGCAGAATTATACATCTTTTAGAATTTTATCAATTGAGCTAGGGGACCTAGGTAGAGGAAATAGAGACAATAGCAACTCTGTACATTGGAAAAAAAGAAAGTTCCAAATGCAAATTACATCAACAGATCAACCAATTATGCCTCAATTCCAAACTAGTTGTGTCGGCTACATGAAGTAACTACATACACAAATATATAGGGCAAGTATGGCCTATACAGTAGCAGGCAAAGGGAAGACACATTAGATTACACTTCATGAGAAATTAGGAAAAGCACAAGTATCTTCATTTGAAAGAAAACTTATACTCCCAAATAAAAAAGCCAAAATATCATTAGTCATATTATATGGACGTTGGACTGTATTGAGCGTTTGGTGCTCAGCACTACTAAGTCCCCTTTTCATTTTCTTGATGACTAAAAAGGATTTATCGGCATCACACCAAGATTGTGTTTAACTTCACAAAAGTTTGTAGCATAGTTACCTGAAATTCTTTTGCTAGTGGATTGAGCATTGTTACAAGGCAGCATTCCATTCCATGACTGTGGATGACGGCACAACCATTTAGCAGAAAAAAAAAGGAAGAAACTTACAGGTGACATGAGTGATCCTTAACCCTGCTCTTCATATTGCTATTTGTGACGTCAAGTACTTAAGCGATCACTGCTATGGCAGGTCGTTGGACGCTAGCCCTCCCTAAAGTAGAATAGTCAATCAAAAAGAAAATAGAGAGTTCGTTTATTAGATCAACTAATATGAGATCATACTCTCCATTCCAAAGGAATCATGCTTCGTCGGAGAAATTGCAGGCTACAACACTAATAATCCTGGGTCCGGGCTATACTAGATTATTTAGAGAGAGAGAATAAATTTAAGATGGCAGCAGAGAAATAGTAAGATGATACCGAGGTTAACCTGAGAGAAATGAATATGCTAAGTTCTCTGAGCTAGACAAAAACAAAGAAAGGACTACAGATATCATAACAATTACACTGTGAAAGAATAATCTAGAATACAACAACATACCTCGTGTAATCCCATAAATGGGGTCTGGAGGGTAATCGACTGTACCCCTACCTTCGAAGGTATATAGGATGTTTTCAGTATTTCAAATTACATGAATGCAAACAATTATCCCCCGCTAGAAGAAAAAACCCTTTTCTTCCTATTCAACTGTGAAGTTTAGAAAGCTGAGAATAATGCCAACTTCAATTATATTCTGAATTATAACCAAAGACAACAATTCAACTTTAACGGTACCTTAGTTCCACCAACTTCTAATTTTGGTAAAACTACAATTTACATGTGATGTTGATGGTTCCAAGATCCATCAATAATGGAAAGAATTGAAGCATCTACCCATCCTCATTTATGTGGTATTACCTTCCTAGCGGATAAAGTGAGGAAAGCAAGACTAAGATGGTTTGAATATGTGAAGAGGAAGAGCTAGGAAGTAACAATGAGGAGATGTGATAGATTGACTGTAACAGGAGCTAGGAGAGGTAGAGGTTGGAGAGGTGATTGATAGGACATGACACAACTTCAGCTGATTGAGGACTTAGAATGTTAGATATGTAGGTCGAGGGATTAGGATAGAAGGTTAGATATGTAAGTCAAAGATAAGGGTAGAAGGTTTTAAGTAGATAATCAAGTGTTATCGTACTTCTAGTAGTATAATTTATGTGTCACGTGGTTTATTTTTCTTCGATGTGTTAATATATGTTGTTACGCTTAATTTGTACATTTGCTATTTTGTGGTCTCTTTTTATTTCTTACTTTCCTGCATCAGTTACATTTCTTTGTAGTGAAGGATCTATCAGAAACCAACATCTTTACCCCGCAAAGGTAGAAGGACGGTCTGCGTACACTCTGCCCTCTTCAGACCGTGCCACCTCCCAACAACAGGTACCTAGTAACTCTACACCAAGAATAGGATATATCAGAAGAAATCACCTAATATCTTTTTGTCACTACTGGGATTTGATCCTAAGACTTTATGGTTCCCACCTTGACATTTTTAACACAGAAATATAGATATATACGTACAAAGTACTAAGAAATTCAATAAAGATCAAATTTTGAATCCAACATTTCTAATTGTGTAATGGATTAAGCAATCTAAACATGATTAACCTCATAAAAAACAAATCTTGGAATAGATATTGTGAAATTTTACCAGATTTAAGGCACAAGCAAAACCACCTTTGAGATCAAAAAGCAGCTTTCTATATAAAGAAGCATAAGCCAGCAATTTCTTTGGCCAGTGAATATACATAGGTTTGAGATCAAACAACAGCAGTAAACATAGTAGATTATACAATCGCTGAAGCGACACAACATATCAAATGGGGAAATATTACAGCCTATCTCAAAGTCATCAGAGGCCACACTGTGTCTCCAGCGGCTGGCAACTGTGGCCGAATGAGAGGAACCCGCTTCACAATAGAGAATGCTTCGTTAAGGCGTGCAGCACGGTTTGTGAACTGAGATACATTCTTGTCATCCACAGTTAGTTTGAGCTTCAATGCCTTGGTGTTTTTCTTCATCTTAGATAACCTACGAACCAAAATAACGAAAGCCATAATAGCAGCAGCAGCAGCAGAAAATGTCCACACAGGGCTAACTCTAAAAGCAGCACAATACTTGACAAGATGTATTGGAACCTTCCACCACCACACTAGGCTCTTCTTTTGGTTCCCTGCATCCCTCCTCTGTTCACCTTCACCTTCAACATTTCCATTTTCCTTTTCCTGATTTTCTTCAACAGAAACTTGTTGGAGCTGACTATTTTCTCCAGCACCAAATTCCACAGAGACCGGCCTAAATTCTTCACCATTTTCACTTTTCATCTCTTCAAAAGCCAATTCATTTTTACCCTCACTGCCGGAATCCGACCATAATTCGCGAGAATTCTTCATGGTAAACTCGTTGTTATCAGAATCGGGCTCAATCCAACTCGGATTATCCGATTTTTCAGAGTCCTCCTCGCTTCCATCCTTAGAAAACGTACTCATATACCTGATTTGAGAGTCTAGAGAAAAGTAATTGGGTTGAATCACACCGATCGTCTCAGATCCAACTTCATCGACACCGTTCGAGTTTCCGGCTGAACCATCCGGAGTTAACGGTTCCGAGTCAGATGCCCGGTTCGAGGGAATCATCTCCCACTCTTGGAACTCGCCTGCCTCAACATCCATGGTGCTGATCAAACCCTAAATTACGTAAAAGAGAGATACAGAGGGGGGGACAGGTTGGGGGAGAGAAGAAATAAGGCTCTTATCCATTCTCATTGATAAACCTATTTAATCAAATTCAAATTTAATTCGAATCCAATATAACTATAGAATACTCATTTTTATTCTATAAAAGTTAATTCAAATAATTTCTTTTAAATAATAAAATTAAAAATAATATATTCTTTTCATCGATAAGATCATATTTGTTGACGTTGCTTCTTAACTAGAGATTTCAGACTCAAATGAGTATTGAAAAACCCATGGTCGAGCCCTTACCGCAAATGGAGTCTTACATAGATCGAACTCAAAATAATTGAACTCCAATATAAAAGTGAAACTAAAATAGAAAAAAACATCATTTACCTTCTAATTCATTCCTTCTTGTCTCGATAAACAAATTGAAAATCAATCCTTACTCTACACTCACTTTTAATTACTTAAAACATGTATAAAAAACGAATTCTTAACAATGAACTAACATTCTATCTATTGAGACTATGCTAGTCGAGAAAGAGCATAAGTCCCGCTCCTCAACAAAATGTTCACTACTTTTTCGCGAGTTTCCATTTGATCTGATATATATTGGATGAATAGAAATCAAGCAAGCTATACCTCATTTAGAAAAGAGCCATGCCTTTGAAAATGGAACAATGAAAACATCAATCACCAACAATAGTTCTCACAAAGATAAAAAAAACTATTACATCTCAATACAACAAGAAAAAGAAGACTAACACTATCATGAAGATAAGAGCTGCAGTATGAGACTCATTTGGCTCAACTTTTTCGACGATGAATCAACTCCCAACCTACTTTTATTAAGTTAATGTTACACAATACATGACACATCCCATCTTTAGATCTCCGAAAATGATTTGACTGTCCTGAACTCGTGACTATCTGGAAGAGGTCCGTTTCCTGGTCTGATAGAGATTATCACTTCCAAACCTGAAGGAGGAGAAAGGGCAACAATGTCAGTTTAAAGTGAAGTATAGCTTTTAGTATAAGAAACATCACACAGGCTCCAGCCGCACAAATTTGTCTAGATGAGCTCCTAGTTGTTGGGATTGGGAGGAGGAATCACACAAAAAAATGGACGTTCTAACATCCTAAATTGGCAACACAGTTGTTGGCCGAGCTACTTTTTTTTTTAATAACCGAGAAATCCCCCAAGGCATTGGCATATGGTTTGAAACTCGGAGTCGGTGGATAATGCACACGTCTCTCTTTCTTTCTCCACTTAAATACCGACCTACTTTTTTAGCTAGTATTTGGTTTCATTGAAGAGTGAGAAAGCTAGCAAATATCATATATAGAGTTGTTTTCATACAAAATGACCAGGATGTTACCTGCTGCCTTTGCAGCTGTGGCTTCTTGATAGACATCTGTCACAAACAAAATCTCTGATGGATTATCTACACCCAACGACGCAGTAATTTCTGCATAACTTTTTGTTTCTCTCTTGTTGCTACAACGGGAGAAGAAAGATGAATTACTTCAAATGACAAATAGGACCAAAATATGAAAACCCGCGGAGAGGTAGTAATTTACCCCACTGTTGTATCAAAAAATCCATAGAGAAATTTTCTCAGGTCTCCATGTTTTGTGTGACCAAACAAAAGCCTCTGTGCCAATCTGCTGCCACTCGAGTATATGTACACCTGAGAGAAAAAACCAGTTAATCTGACTAGTAGATGGAGCTCATAGACTTCAGCATTACCACTTTCTGATAATGAAGAAGAGGAAGAGAGCATTTAAACCACACAGGACGCTGGAGTTTTTCAAGAAGAAATAGAGCTATTGTTTCGATGATCATAATTGTTTTGATTTGCAACAAAAATTTGGATACAACTAGTTAACTCTAGCTTACTAAAATGAGGAATGCACTGTACGGAAAAAAGGGACAGATGAAACCTTGACGCCTAAAGCAGTCCATTTCTCAAGAGCTGAAGGTACATCATCAAAAACAAGTCCCTCTAACTCATTGTTTTGGAACCCAGTTTGCCAAATATGCCCCTGAGTATTAGAATATGAAGTAAAGAACGAACTGTAAGCAACTATTAGATGAAACTGTATAACATTTATAACTATTTGAGGGGCCTAGGTGAAATTTCACCACCACTGTCCTCACCTGTAACTCTTTCAAGGCAGTAATCTTGCGGTCAGCTTTAATCATTGCCTCAACATTAGCGACCAAAGCTGCAATTACCTCCATTTTCCCAGCATCATCAGCTGGGATACACACAGCACCAGCAACACCATTTTCCAGGTCTTGTTGCACCTGAAAGAATATCACAAAGGAGGTAAGATTAAGAATATATATATATATATATAAAAAAAAAAAAAAGCAGCACAAAGTATCTGTACTGTTTTATACTTTTTAAATTTGAAAGCAGACAGTTTTATGTGAAAAACACCGAATGATGACCTTGTATGTAAAAAAACTAGAGCATCTTGTGTGTTGATGGACTCGATGTATGAGAAACCACACATCTACACTGCGACCCTGTAATGGACACCCTCAAATTGGATCAGGATTAGCTTCCGCTTTTCCAAAACTCATGCCAGACACCCACCAACAAAACTCTCCTCCCCCCTCCCCCCCCCCTCCCCCCCCCCCCCGGGGCTTCTTCTCAGCAAGTCACAAACAAAATGACCCCTATCTGATATATTTGTCATTTCTTAATGTCCTTTCAAACATCACTTGACAATTTACACTGGTTTCAGAGAAAGACAAAGCACATAAACATAGCTCCAGCAATCAAATTTTGAATAGAACTATGTATGATTGTGTGAAAGGTCAGAGACATATATGCTAATTAGTGTTTATGAAAAGAACTTCTATCTTGCTATTAGAAAATTCAAATAGGTGGTGCTGATGTAAATTGTAACGGAGGATTAATTATCCAACACGAAATTCATGAGACCACATGAGCAACTGATCGAATATATAGGAAAAGAAAAGCACATATGAAAGTAGGACAATTTGGTAACTGAAACAGAAAATATTCCTAAAAGATCAGCATCACGGCATTACCAAGAAGAAATGTAGTGATAGTCTTTTTTCTTTAACTCATATGAATTACGATGCATTAAATACCAAATGTGGACACTTCTAATCCATCCATTAACACGCCAAGGAAAACAAGACAAAATGACTAAATTGAAGATAACACTTCTGCAGGCCATCTGGCAGAACTTATTCAGCAGCTCCAAGGAGGTTGGATGTCGTTCCTAGCCTGGCACAACCTTAGCAATCCAGATTTGGATTTCTCATCAACTTTTCAGGTTTATTACAGTTACACCCAAAAGTTCTGTTAAAACTTCTTAATGTTCTCCAAAACAGACATCACCATTACGACATAATAACATCTACCACAATTTTTCAAAGAAAAATGCTCAACTCTTTTGAAAACCTTTTTCACAAAGCTATTTTCTCTGTAAGTTTACTTACTTGAGCGCGTAATAACTTAATATCCTGTTGAGTCTCTGCTGAATCATATGTTGCATCCAAATGTCTCCCAACATTATTACGTGCATAAGGGAATAGAACCTCAGTAACAAATGATATTGGAGTAGTAGTTCCTTCGATATCCAAAACGATGCACCGCTGCAAGAAAGTATATATATCACAATGCAGACAACAATAAGAATTCAATGGAAACACCTACTTTCGATTTTAAGAAAGTAAGAGAATAGTCTAAACTGTTGCGGTGCTTACCCTTGATGGCTTTATGCTGCCATTTGGAGCAAGTGCAGATATTTTTGCATTCTGAATGGGACCATGAGCTGGTGTTGTCCAGTCAATTCCTAATTGATGTAGTTTAATTGCAGCATCAAAGAGGTAGTGGTAGCACTCAGACTGGAAGATAGTATGTCAGTTAGAAGAGTGCCAAATGAAACATAAATCTCAGATACATTAAACTAATTGATCTGAAGACTGTTTCCATATGTACATTTTTAAGTAGACTACAAGATGTACGTAGAAACTCCTTCAGAGGTCATCCTTAACTTACTAACACAAGTTAAGTTAATCTTATTAGTTCTAAAATCTGCTACCTAACCATGTCAAACCCTCCCCCTCCCCTCCTAATATAAGCCATGACACAAACCTGTGTTTTAGCGCTGATCCAAGAATCTCCCCATACATATATACCATGGTTGCGAACCAGCACAGCTGTCGTTTTCGGGTAAGCTTTGATCTGTTCAACATGGAAAAAAAGTTCAAGTGGAAACTGTTAGCACAATGTTTGGTGATCATAGCCAAACAAAAACAGGAATGGAGTTGATGTACTTATAGAAATTCCAGTACAAGTATCTAAAAACTAAGTTAAAGCAGCAGTAAAAAAACTAAACAAGTACAGATACACAATGGAAGGGTGTGACTTTTTGAAGAGGGAGACGCTTACAGCTTCAGCAAGAGATTCTGTGAGTTCTCTCTCATATGCAGTGTTCTCTATGATAGGAACCACAAGTTCATCATAGTAACCATGCCCTTGAATTCCTTTTATCATTTCCATATGAGTGATCTGTCAATCAAAGCAACAACGAATAGTGAATAAGATGAAAAATAACAATAGGTTTCAGTAATTTACAATGCGGAATTAAATCTTTAAAATATTATCAATTGAGCTAGGGGAATTAGGTGGAGGATATAGAGACAATAGCAACTCTATACATTCGTAAAAAGGAAGTTTCAAATGCAAATGATATCAAGAGATCAATCACTTATGCCTCAATTCCAAAACTAGTTGTGTCGGCTACATGAAGTAACTACATAAATAAATTTATAAAGAAAGTCTCGCCTATACAGATGCAGGCAAAGGGAAGATGCATAAGGATTACACTTCTTATAACGTATGGAAAAGCAAAAGTTGCTCTATTTGAAAGAAAATTCTTACTCTCAAATAAAAAGACATAATATCAGTAGTCAGCATAACACGCACTGAATTGAATGCTTGAAGCTCAGCATTACCGAGTCTCTTTTTTCTTGATGACTCAAAAACATGTTATCGGAATCACATCAAGATGTAGCTAACTTCACAAAAATTTGTAGCATGTTTACCCGAAATTCTTTTGCTAGTGGATTGAGCATCGTTACAAGACAGGATTCCATTCCATGACTGTGGATAACAGCACCAGCATTACGCATCAGATATGCCTGAGGAAAAAAAAAGAAAAAAATTACAATCAGCGGAGTAGAATAGTCAATCAAAAAGAAAAAGAGAATCATTTATTTATAGATCAACTAATATGAGATCACACTCTCCATTCCAAAGAAGTCATGCTATATCTCAGTAACTGCAGTCTACAACACAAAAAATCATGGATCCTGGCTGTTACTAGATTATTTAGAGAGACAAAACAAATTCAAAAGATGGCAGCAGAGAAATAATAACATGATACCGCGAGATATGAAATATGCTAAGTTTGTTGAGCTAGACAAAAACAAAGAAAGGACTACGGATAACATAACAATTACACTGAGAAAGAACAAATACAATACAACAACAACATCCCAGTGTAATCTAATCCCACAAGTGAGGTCAGGAGAGAGTAGTCAACCATACCCCTACCTTGGAAGGTAGTACCTGTTTTCGATATTTCAAAATAGACATGACTGCAAAACAATTATCCGCCGGATAAAAATAACATCTTTTTCTATGCAACTAAGAAGTTTAGACAGCTGAGAATAAACACCAACTTCAATTAGCTTCAGCATTTTAACCAAAAACAACAATTCAACTTCCAGTAGGCCTTAGTTCCACAACTTTTCAAATTGGTAAAACTTCAATTTACAATACTACAACAACTATTGTTTCATCATATTATAGAAACCTCTATACCTTCATAAAAAGAGGCGCACAATCAGAACACTTAGGAGGTTTATGAGGGGTAGGTTTAGCCACCGGTGCAGATAAAATAGACCCATCTGATGACATAATATACATATCCTCATCCACCATCCTTTCCTTTTGCACCCCTATCAAAAAAAACCCATCAACAAAAAACTCAAACAAAACCCAAAAATTAAAAAGTTGGGTAAGATCGTAAACGGGTTCTTCTCACCAGAAGGAGACATAACGATAAGTTGTTCGGATTTAGGAACGGATTCATCATGTACTTTAATGGTGATGCTGCCGCCGGTGCCGGAAACCCATCCCTGATTGTAGAAATGACGGCAAAGCTCAGCGATTAAGGACTTGGTCTCTTTGACCTTGTCACCTTCCAAATATGCTTGACTGGTAGTCGCCATTTTCAGAGCTCCGTTTGCTGCAGCCATATTTGCTTTATTTTATTTTTTTTAATGTAAGAGAGAAGAGAGAAGAGAGATGGAATAATTTCTTTTTCGGGATTTTGAGATTAATTAACAAAAAAAATTATTCGATTTTTCAATAGTAAAAGTACTCCACTTAATTAAATTTATTTTGAAAAAGACTGCTATCTCGAATTAAATAATCACATACTTAATATATTTTATTAAAAATATTTTTCATTTCATGAAATTAGAGCTAAAGGTCGAAGTTGTATTTGAAAATATTTTTTTGCAAATAATCTTTAGTTGGTTGGATATATTTATTCTTTTAAAAAAATGAAAATTAATTTAAACACGAAATATAATTTTAAATAAGATTAATTTTATAAAAATAGAAAAACATACGATAAATTTGAAAGAAGTGAAAATAAGATTTTGGATGTTTTACAAGTTTCAAATACAACCTCAGGTTGCAGTTGATTTTTTATGTTCAAACGCTCATTGTCTAATAAATTGAAAAAAAATGAAAAATTCTTATGTCCGAATGAATTTTAAATTATTGAAGATGTACATATATATCATACTTGATTGGTTCAATACGAGATAAGTTGGAATATCTCATTGAATGGTTAGGGTTCAATATAATGGAGACTGTGTAATTAAATGAGATAAGTTTTAAAACATACATAAACTATATTTTTTTATTGAGTTTCATATATAAATTATTAAGAGTGTGTTTCATACACGTGGAATATTATGTGTCAAGGTTTTTTTTCAAATAAGAGAGAAAGTGTACATCGCTCGAGATGTGTTTATGTATAAACATATACTTCAATAGTTTAGATATGAAACTCAAAAAATGAAAATAGTTTAAGTGTGTTTTTTACACTAATAATACTAGGTGGTTACAAGGGGCGGAGCCTCCTAGGTACAAGGGGTTCATTCGAACCCCCTTTGACGAAAAACTATATTATTTATATATGGTTGAAATAATATTTTATGTATTTATAGTAGATGTGGACCTCCTTCGACTACTCCGTGTGTCTATTTCTACAAATTTTGAACCCCCAAATGAAAATTCTGGCTTCACCACTAGTGATTACTATATTACCGTAAACAAATATGATCGTTTTAAGCTATATATATATATATATATATATATATATATATATATATATATATATATATATATATATTAAATTAATTAGTTTTTAATATAAGTATAAAAATAAAAAATAAGGTGGTACTGGGTTAGGTGAGAATATATAAAAGGGGTATTTTTTTACTAAAAAAAAAAAAGCACATTATTTATGTGCCTGTATACATCAGCTCATCCAAATTGCGTGAATTTCCTACAAACGTTTTTCACGGCGTGATTCACATGTGGCACAAGACTTTGTGACATTATCGGAGAAACCTAATATTCAATCAAGTGCATCATTTTATTAAACGTAATATTAATATCGTGGATTCACGTATATTATAAATTTGATCATGCAAGGGCGATACTAGAGAATGGAAAAGGGTTATTCACATTTCGTTTTAATATGTTTGTCTGATTTTGATTTGATATAAAATTTAAGAAAGTAAAGAATTTTTTTTAATTTTATAATCTTAAATTAAAAATATTTAGGATACACCGAAATGTCATTTAGAGGAATGTTATATGAAAAGTTAGAATTAAAAAATTATTTAAAGAAAACAAATTAAAATGAATGAATATTAGTTACGAATCAAATTTAAAAAATGAAAGAATGAAATTTACGGAGAATCTGTAAATATATAATTTCACCAATTTACAAAGTCTTCACCATCAATGAATCATCTTCAAATGATGGCACAAAAGTACACAATGTAAATATTATGAAATGAAGTTAGAATAATTATATGGAATGGACAAACAAAAAGCTTCTTAATTAGCAAATTTATCTCCAATCCATGTTTATATTAATGTGTGTATATATATAGTCGCAAAGATGAAATGTTTACCGAGTATTAATTAGTTTAATTTTATATTTTTGCGATGATCGCAAAAAATGTTTTTATTCTGTGGTTGCATGGTACATTCATAATGTACCATGTAATCGGAATAAAACGTAATATTTTTAACGACGTTGGCATCTGGTGATTTTGCTGCAGCCACGTCTATAAGGCCGAATCTTCTGCATGCGGGTGCATTGGTAGTAAGACGCGCCATGTCGGTCACAGGGGATGGCGTTCTTCGACATCGCCCTGTAACTGATGTGGTCCTGATTATTGAGGGCCCTACGGGCCGACTCTGTCGGCATCATCATTTCTTCATCAGCAAACAATGTGTCCCCGATACGACCTGTAGTCATCCATTCATCAAGGCCACCACCAGTATTGTGGCCGAGTGAATTGACTACAGGGTCGTTGAAGAAGGAAGAGGAGGAGGAGAACGAAGACTCTGCCACCATGGCGAATGCCAAGGTGGCAAGGAGCATGAAAACGAAGATTGGTCGACTGGCCATCTTGACAAATTGATGAAAGTAATGCGACTTCTGTTGTTTGTTTGTTTAATTTTATATTTTTGTGAGATTTTCTATTGTTGTTTTTGCCCTTCCTTTAGAATGAAAACATGAGGGGTAAAGGAAGTTGAAAAGGATGGGTGAAATGTGAAAGTAAAATGAAGAAGAAATAAGGTAAAAAAGCTTATTGTGGAGACATGAAAAATTGTTAGTGGTGGAGATTTTTTAGGTTAAAAACTTGTGGTTTGTGGCATTTAAATTTTTTGGTGAAAAAGAGTAATTCACGTATTCACGTACATAAGAAGAGTAATTATTATTTTTTAGTCTCATATTTGATGAATATTTTTTATTTTATATCATAATTAAGAAATTATAATAGATTGATCAATTTTACGATATATTTTGTCTTTTATTCATATTAATTAGCTTTTGAAAAAGGAAATAAACTTCCAAAGATCATATTAGTTATACGGGTAAAATGAAAAAAAAAATTGATTCTATCCTGATTTAAAAATGATCATGTAATATAGGACAAATAATATTCATCACGGGACGGAGGAAGTAGTGATGGAACACCGTAAACTTTTACTAGCGTATTTATCTAGTCTATTTTTTAAAATTATTATTTTTTGAATCAAAAAATTATCATATACAACAGTTTTATTTTACGAGTCATAAAAATAAAATCTATATATACTTTATTTTTTCTCACGTTATATTTGTAAAATTACATAAAAAAATATATTATTTTTGTTTCTCTGTTTCATTTTTCCTTTTTCTTGGTTGACATCCAATTTTGTATTATTTTTTACATGTGGAATTATGGATGTAAATTTGGAAACCAAGTAATTAATATTTCCTTTTTTACTTGTTTGTTAAACTGTGAAATTAGGAAAACCATGCCAAAGTCTAACATCCCCCATACTTGTCCAACAAAAAAAATTAATAAGAATTGATATCTTAAATGATCAGAAATTTAAAAAGTTTATAATATTCTTTAATTTAAAAAATAATAATTTTTATTTTATTTTAAACAAAAAGATAGTAAAATTAAAAGGGTAAAAAATATTTTAAAAAATAATGTAAATATGTTATTTTACTATTCTGATCAATTTTCTAATCGAAAGGATTTTTCGTATAAGATTTGTACAGGGGAAAAATGAAAGAAGAAGAAGGATGACATGATATTTATTGGGCCAAATTTGATCATACTTAGAGTAGCCCATTATACTTGACCCAAACACGAAGAAGGAAAGTTAACCAAGTAGAAATGGGTTATTTTGCACGAGGCATAATATATAAACGTGTTTTTTTTTTAATTTTACCTTAATTAATATTAATATTCTTAAATTTTGAGTCTGTACTAATAAACACTTAAATTTATATAAAATTGAATAAATGGATATACATGTCTTAAGTAGCATCTTACATGACAATTTATGTTCTACGTGTACATTAATGTCCTATGTATATTGTAATGTAGAATGTGTGTATCTACTTGTTCAATATTATACTAGATTTAGCGTCTACTTATCTACACTCAAAGTTGGAGGATATAGATGTTAATTAAAGTATAGTTAAACGACATATTTATATATTTTCCTTTTGCACAAATGTTCTTTATTCGGAGGTGATGTTAATTTTTGCTCTTAAAAAATTTAATATTTTTAATTCTGTGATAATCGTTATATAACAATGACTTAAATGTCATAAAATATTTCTTACATAGCTTATGTTAAACGAAATAAAAGTTTAATTTCAGAATCCACAAATTACGTCATAAGAAGCATATCTTAATTCCTACATAACTTATGCTGAGCACGATAAAAGTTTAGTTTTAGAATCCACAATTTATATCATTAAATGCACAAAACATGTTTTTCTTGATATACTAAGAGTGACAACTAAAAACAAAGTATTTTTAGTATACACTGAATAAGCAAAAGCAAACAAAATTACGAAAAATTAATTTCTTAACGAAAAATATCAAAGTCGACCTGACTAAAAGGAGACAAAGCTACTAAACCATTGAACGTAACTTTAAAGCATTTCTCAATCAATGTTTTGGGATTTGCTAATTTTTCCCTCCTTTAATTTAACGTAATTTTAACGATAATCACGATCAATATTTAGGGATTTACAACTTTGCACACCTTTTTAGTTTCTCGATCATGGTAATTCACTAATTAAGCCTTGTTTATGTCTTTTTGACAGATCTAAGTACCAAATACTCCAACTAATATGTTTCAAAGTTTTTAGCGTTAATTTCTTACGTATCTTAAGCTATATCAATATTTTAATACTATTAATATAGTGTAAGTAATATCTTTTTCTCTGTGCCTAATTACTTGTTTATTTTTATTTTTTTTAATTGTATCTAATTACTTATTCATTTTACAAATCAAAAAAGGATAAATTATTTTTATCTATTATATTCTCAATTAATTATTATGTAAAAAATGAATATTCTTGAAAATCTTAAATTTGTAATTCAAACACTTTATAATTAATAAGGATAAAATGATAAATTCACCATGTCAACTATTATTTTCTTAATATGTGTTAGTTTAAAAATTAACAAATAATTAGGGATTTGGACAGTAATAACCAAGTCAGTAGTAGAAATCTAATCAAGTAACTTCGATGTGATATATAAATTACAAATTGTATTTATATATTTATTCAGTAACATCATTTTAGTTAAAGTGATACTTATTTTTAAACAAAGGAAATAACAATTTTTGGGTGTGGTATAGGGATAAAAAAGTGATTTTTTCTTACTCCTATTACGATAAATTAATTTTTATATAATTTTCAATAATTAAGTGAATATTTAAGAAATTTACTCAAAGGTAAGTGAATAAAATTTCTTCTTTGAATGCTAATAAATTATGAGTATACTTCTCTTTAAAAGATATGTTCAAACTAAAAACAAAGACTAATATGAAAAGAAAGATTAGATTAATATGTTAAAAAGGAAAAGGGTAAATAAGAGGAAAATTTGAGTATACTTTTATATATTAAAAGCTCATGTAACACATAAAATTATACAAAAGATAACAATTAAACACCCCAATACAACTGTAATTCAAGTAATCAAAATTAACTAATTTAACACAAAAAAAGAAGAAGAAGAAAACCAAATTAAGTAATAAGTATAATTAATTTCTACGTTAATTTATTAATCCCAAAATTAGAGTAAAAAAGACTGACATTGTTGACATAGAGGGAGTGATTGATGCTTTCTCTGCTGCTGATTCGGAATTGAGTGGTGAATTAGCTGGTGAATCAATGTCCGCCGGAATATTATCGCCGTCGGTGGCCGGCGCAATATTTTCCGGCGGGGAATCCGTTCCCGATCGCGGCGGCGTACTTGATGATGGGGAAGATGAAATTGGAGAAGATTCGTTGGATGATTTCGCTGTTGTCGGTGAAACGGAAGGTGAGGGTTCATCATGAGACGATGTTGGAGATAGGCTTGAGCTAGGGTTTGGAGATATTTTCGAAGTTATTGGTGTTGGAGCGGTTTCGGGTGTATTAGAAATCGGGTTTAGGTGTGAGCGAGGACTGGAAGGAACATGTGAGGGTGCAGGTGTTGGCCCCGCTTTTGCGGGTGCATGGGCTTTTGGGGTCGAGTGAGAACCATAAGGTGCAGGGGATGGCTCGGATGGAGCCTTTACTGGTGCATGGGTGATAGAAGGTGGGTTTGAAATAGTACCCCGAGGGACATTTGATGATTTTGGTGTTGGAGCCTTTATGGGTGCATGAGCTTTTGGAGATGAGTCAGATGGAGCTTTACCGGGTGCATGAGCCGTAGAAGGTGGGTGTGAACTAGTACCCCGAGGAACATTTGATGATACTGGTGTTGGAGCCTTTATGGGTGCATTGGTAGAACTATCAGGTGCATGAGCGGTAGAAGGTGGGTGTGAACTAGTACCTCGAGGAACATTGGATATCAGTGTAGGTGCTTCTACAGGTGCATGAGCTTTGGGAGATGAGTGAGGACCATCAGGTGCATGTGATGATCCGGATGGAGCTTTTACAGGTGCATGAGCGGTAGAAGGTGGGTGTGAACTAGTACCTCGAGGAACATTGGATATAGGTGTAGGTGCTTCTACAGGTGCATGAGCTTTTGGAGATGAGTGAGAACCATCAGGTGCATGTGATGACTTGGATGGAGCTTTTCCTGGTGCATGAGCGGTAGAAGGAGGTTGTGAACTAGTACCTCGAGGAACATTGGATATCGGTGTTGGTGCTTCTACAGGTGCATGAGCTTTTGGAGATGAGTGAGAACCATCAGGTGCATGTGATGACTCGGATGGAGCTTTTCCTGGTGCATGAGCGGTAGAAGGTGGTTGTGAACTAGTACCTCGAGTTACATTGTACATCGGTGTTGGTGCTTCTATAGGTGCATGAGCTTTTGGAGATGAGTAAGAACCATCAGGTGCATGTGATGGCTCGGATGGAGCTTTTCCTGGTGCATGATCGGTAGAAGGTGGGTGTGAACTAGTACCTCGAGGAACATTTGATATCGGTGTTGGTGCTTCTACAGGTGCATGAGCTTTTGGAGATGAGTGAGAACCATCAGGTGCATGTGATGACTCGGATGGAGCTTTTCCTGGTGCATGAGTCGTAGAAGGTGGGTGTGAACTAGTACCTCGAGGAACATTGTATATCGGTGTTGGTGCTTCTATAGGTGCATGAGCTTTCGGAGATGAGTGAGAACCATCAGGTGCATGTGATGACCCGGATGGAGTTTCTCCTGGTGCATGTGCCACAGGAGAAAAACCAATACCTCGAGGCACATATGATACTGGAGTTGGCGCCTCGACAGGTTCTTGAGCAGTTGGAGATGAGTGGGAACTAGCGGGCACAGGTGACACCCCAGTTGGAGCTTTTCCAGGTGCACGAGCTGTCAAAAGAATAGGGTTGATATAAGTAATGTTCATGTGAGTGCTATTTGGATAAATATAAGCGAATTTGTTTCAGGATCGAACAAAGCCTTAATATATTGTAAATTGAAATTTAGTCATTTCTCATAAAAGGCCTAAATAATTTGTAAAATTGAAAGAAGTATATAAACGATCTAGCTAACGGAAGGTGAGTGGGAACCAGTACCTCGATCCACATTTGATGATGCCGGTGTTGGCGCCTTACCAGGAGCATGAACTGTTGGAGATTGGTGAGAACCAGAAGGACCTAGCGATGCCCCGGTTGGAGATTTTGCTGGTGCATGAGCTGCTGGAGATAGGTGTGAACTTGGACTTGGAGAAACATGTGATAATGCAGGTGTTTGAGCCTTTTCGGGTGCATGTGTTGTCGGAGATAAGTGGGATCCAGCAGGGGCAAGTGACGCACCAGTTGGAGCCTTTCCTGGTGCATGAGTTTCAGGAGATAGTTGTGAACCACTACTCAAAGGCACATTAGCTGATGTTGGTGATAGAGCCGTTGGAGCTAAATGTGAACCAGAAGGCACATGGAATGATGACGGTGATGGAGCCTTTATAGGAGATCGATGTGTACTAGCACTTGGAACCCCATGAGATGATTCTAGTGTTGGAGCAATCCCTGGTGCATGTGTTGTTTGAGGTGGATTGGAAATAATACCTCGAGGCACATGTACTAGTGTTGGCGCCATTCCAGGTGCGTGGCCCATACTAGATGAGTGAGAACCTGTAGGGGCAGGTGACAACCCGAATACTGGATCCTTTTCGGGTGCACTAGATACTGGAGATAAGTGAGAACTACTAGGACCAGGCGAGGCCAACGTTGGAGCCACACCTGGTGAATGACTCATCTGAGGTGAGTCTGAACTAGTACCCCGAGGAACGTGCACCGTTATAGGGACAGGTGATGATACCCCAATCGGCACCTTTCCAGGTGCATCTGCCTTCGGAGATAAGTGAGAACCAACCGGAGCAAGTGATGGTACCGGAGTAGAAGGAGGCAGCACCATACCAGCAACAACAATAACAAACTTTTGTCCTTCTTTACACTTATCCTTATTACCACTAACAAAATAAAAACTACCTGAACGATCAAATTCGAAAACAGAGTTTTCATCTTCCATTTTCTTGATCGGATGTTCTATATTGCACTTGTCATAATCATCTTCATTTACCTCCAACACCAGATCTGATCCTTTCTTATTCTTAAACACTGTGACACACATACGAAAAAAACAAACAATTACAAAGATCAATCCATAAAATCTTGTCATACAAACAAATTCAACAGATTAACATAGGATGATGATACTTACAAAGAGTGTCATTAACTTGAATTCTCATTAGTTGAGACCATTGATCGAACGATTCAAGAGGGTTAGCAATCCAATCATCTACGCCACCAAGTTCGAATTGATAAGCATTCGATGAGCTAGACCAAAAAAATAGCAGTACGACTAATACTGGAACATGTCTCTGTAGAGCCATGGGAAGTTTGAAATTTTCTTCTGTTTCAAAATATGCAAGAGATTTTCTTACTATGATAGTTTAATAACTGTAAAGATACATAAAATGTCACAAAATCACAAGGGGGATAAATAAAATGGACAAGAAACTGAAATTAGTGAAGTGAGAGGAAAATGAAACTGAAATGGAGGTTTCAGGGTAAATATGTTGTTATATATAGTTTATATGAAATTGACTGTATGTGTTTGATATCAAGCACATGGATAAAGGTAACGTACTAATGGTATAAGGAAATTTAATTTAATTTAATTTAATTAAGGTTGATTTTTAGCTTTTACTTAAATATTACAATGGCCACAACTTGGGGAACAGTTTCATGTACACACCACCCTCTCCAGATCCAGCTTGTGGGATTACATCGGGTTTGTTGTCGTTGGCCAAACTTGGATCATTATAAGCTGCAGGATGTAATACAAAAATGAGGGAGGAATTTGGCAAAAAGCCTGGACTTGACACAACAAAAGCTATGCAATAAGATGAGAACAATTACACCGTGAATTTTTCTCTCTTTTATTGAATTGTACAAGGAGAGTATTTCAACAAGTTGTAATTTGTTTCATCAAATCCAAGGGCAAGGAGTTCAGAGTCGAGGCGATCCTCCTGTTTTCTTAGCAGCATTACGGTAATCATATACACCAACGCCTCGCTTTTTACCAAGTCTACCAGCATCAACATACTGCACAAGGAGAGGGCATGGGGCATATTTATCGTCCCCTAGACCGGCTTGAAGAACTTTCATGATTGACAAACAAACATCCAGTCCGATAAAATCTGCAAGTTCAAGAGGACCCATAGGATGGTTGGTTCCTAGTTTCATTCCTGTATCGATATCTTCTTTTGTTGCAACTCCGGTGTACAGTGTATGAAAGGCTTCGTTTATCATTGGCATCAAAATTCGGTTTACTATGAAACCAGAGTAATCCTGAGAGCAGATAACTGTCTTACCAAACCTGCAAATAATAGATAAATCAGAAATTAGTTACAGAGGGTAAGAAACTATTCTTTTACCTGTATTTTAATTCATTTCATATATCGGAAATAAGAGATACTGTATAAGCTTTGTCCATGTTGCTTATGAAGCTTAAAAGAAAAAACGTTTATGTAGACATATTATAGATAACAAACAATCTCACATCTTGAGACAGGGACATAATGAAGACCACTTTCTCATTGTTCGGTTGCATCTATTAACAAACATTAAACAGGGATACATAATGAGCCTTTGCAGCTAGGATGAGAGATTGTGTTTGGGGTTGGTGAAGCTTTGGGAAATGTTATATCCATAAGACATGTAGATTATAAATGACTGTCGTATCTGAAAGCGTAAATATTCAAGGCAGAATTTTTTTTAAAAAAGGAAGTGTTGACGAGACGTGCATATAAAGGTAAATACTAGTTGCAGGGTTTTCTTATCAGTCACCTCTCTGCCAGGCATTTAGTGGCACAATATGTGTCTTCTGATGTATCTGCACCCCGAATAATTTCAACCAGCTTCATAATCGGCGGAGGATTCATAAAGTGCATGCCGATCACCTGCCCATGAAGACATAACATACACAAAAAAGGAAGAGAAGATATATGAGCAATGAATGGAGACTCTGGGGAGGGAAATGACTACAAGTGCCTGATTCATTGTCAGCTTGCGCTGATCATTTGCTGTTCCTTAATAAGTACCAAAAATATAATAAATGAGTATAACTTCAAGAAAACAAAATAAACATATACAAGACACTTCATATACACACACAAAGAAAGAAGAAAAGACTTTTTTGGCCTGAAATGAGCACAATACTCCATTACCGGTGTTTTTTCAGGAACCAAAAGACTATCAAAATGAATTGAACAGTGCATTCTACATAATATACAAGAAAAAGCAGCAAGCATAAGTCTGTTCTATCTCTGACTTAAACTCGTAACTTCTTTATGAGCAAATCAATCCTCCTTCAAATCATCACTTTGAGATATGGGGTTCCCTATCAGTTATTCATAACAACGACATTCCAGTATTGCTTTTTAGCAGCCATTTAGAAGTTCTTTTAGTCCCTTGTCTTCTGATTAGCAGTGAGATGCCTTACACCTTCAATCTTACCAACCACTTCATTGACCCGACGAAAGATAATTCCCTCACCTTACCAATACTATAATATTCTATATGTTGTTCCTGAGAAATACAGACAATCTCATCATAAAGTTAATCAATGTGTGTTTTTACAGGTGATGATGACTACTAAAGATGGGACATACACACTAGTGCAACCATAATACAACCACAAGAAATTCTACCAGCTCGGGCAAGAGTGCCTAGGCATTGAGATTCCACAAGTCTGAAAGGACAGACAACATGATATAGATGAATTTCACACATCTTCCTTCTGAATGATTCAAAAAAGGAAGTGAGCAAGAAAGTTATGCAATTGTTTGAATGTTGGCATTTTCCTGAACTTCAACACACATATTTGCATACGAACAAAGTTATTCTGTTTTCAATAAGTTCCATATAACATCTTTCAGTCTACAATCAATCAACAGCCAAGAAAAGCAAACCTGAGAGGGTCGGCTCGTTGCAGATGCTAGACGAGTAATGGAAATAGAGCTTGTATTAGAAGCCAAAATAGCAGAACTCTTTACAATCTTATCCAAGTTAGCAAATAAAGATTTCTTCACTTGTTCAGACTCCACAATAGCCTCAACAACAATATCAACTGACTGTAAATCATCCAAGCGCGAAGAACAACGAAGACGCTTCACAGCATCAACACTCGTTGCCTGTTTCATCAATGAGATCATCAAACACATGAACTCAACACAGTTCACATTTCTTATAAATAACTCCCAAATTAACCCTAAACAACACCTTCATAGAGTAAGTAGTACAACTTTGAGAATCAAACCAGCTTTTTTCACAAGAATTTTTCAAACATTTGTGATGAATCAATTCTGACTTTATATTCCAGAACTCCAAAACGTAAAATTCAAAGCAAGCAAAATCTTATTAAAAAACGTAAAATTCAAAGCAAGCAATTTACAAAAGCTTTCAGCTCAAACGAAAGGAGTAATAATACCTGAGAGATTTGTCCTTTGGTGAGGAGGCGTTGAATATTATTGGAAATAGATTTTTGAGCTTTAGTAAGAGCTTCAGAATCCAAATCGTAAAGCCAAACGTCGACGCCGTTGACGGCGGCGAGTTGGGCGATTCCGGCACCCATTTGGCCGGCGCCAACAACTCCGATCCTTGTTATATCGGCCATGCCTAAAAAATTTATTCAGATTATCACTAAAAAAGCTACCTAAGTTGAGAATAATTTTATTTTAAATATGTTACTGCAAGTAGAGTCATTTTCTTATATAATAAAAAAAAAATTAAAGAAGAGAAAAATAATACATAAAAAAGATAATCCTACCTTGGGGTACACACCATATATATATACAGTACTACTTTTTTTTTTTTTTTTGGATAAATAAGATTTTCTATTTTATACTAGGAATAAATTAAGGATGGTTTCCTTCTATTTTATGATTTAAGTACTAAAAGAATAACTGTAGAATATTTTATTTCCTTCCAAGTATAGATTTTATATTAATTACATAAATTTAGTTTACTTTAAGTATAATATTTATAAGAAAAAAAATGTATTCTCTTTATAGTTTTCTCTTTAATTGCTTATAAATAGTGATATATTTTTTATTTAAGTCAATTTTAAAATTGATGCGATAAGTTGTCATTTCATCTCTCTTTAATTTTCTTTCTAATTTCTTGGATTTCACTACAAGTGTGGACTATTTCTAGCTCCTTTTTTCTAAAAAAAATCTTTTATTTAGGGCTATTTGGATGGGCTTAATAAGAACAGCTTTAAAAAAATATTTTTAAAAGTGTTGAAATTTATTTTTAAAATAAACCGTTATGCGTTTGGATAAAAGTGCTGAAGTTAAAAAAAATTGTTGATGTGTTTGGCAAATAAGTGCTGATAAACAACCTTTTAAATCTAAATGTCTTAAATACCCTTAAAAGTTGTTAACATAATAAAAGTTAATTAATTTATATTTTACAGCCATAAATAATTGTATTTTGCTATCATTCACATATTTCTTTCTCATCACAAATTATTTATAAGAAGAATATAAACTTAATATAGATTTTAAAGATATATAATTTGAATAAATTAAAGAACGGTTTAAGATTTTATTTTAGTTTCATCCATAGGTAATAATAATTGTCTACCATTCACATATTTCTGTATTATCACAAATTATTTATAAGAGGAATATAAATTTTTATTTAAGTTATATGTGCAACTTATTTTACATTTTAATAATAAATAATTTGAATATATCACTTGAAAGATTTAAGATTTATTTTATTTTCATTCATTAGTAATAGTAATTGTCTATCATCCATACGTGAAAAGAGAAAATAGAAGAAAAAAATGTTAGGGTTATGTTGGTAATTTGGAGATTGTATAAAAATATTAAGGGCAAAAAGGTAAAAATGTGGTCAACATAAAACAGCTTAGAAGCTGGAAAAAAAAACACTCATACCCCAACTTTTAACTTTTGGCATAAAATAAGATTTTTTAAATAACTTAAAATAAGTTATTTTGAGTATTGCCAAACAGATAAATAAGTCAAAAACTAGCTTTTAAGTCAATTTGACCAGCTTTTAAGCTGAGCCAAACAAACTCTATTCTACTATAGGTAAGTCACTAACAAAAAATATGATATAAAATAAATAGAAAAAAAATTAATAATCTTTTATTTATTCTATTTCTACTATGTAGAAATATGATACGAAAACAAATAGAAAAAAATGAACATTGATAATCTAGAATATAGATTAGGTATCTTATAAGAACAAATTAAGACAAGTCATTTATATTACTTTATTATTTATTTATTTATTCATTCATATTTTTTTTTTTTGATAAGTCATTCATGTAACATTTAGACTAGATAAATTTTTGAAAATAAATTAGCTCCTTCGCATTTTTTTTTATATATATTAGGTAATAGATGTATCCATTATTCAGCCAATACTATTTAATATTTTCATTACTTAAATTTTTAATTTACCTCCTACAATCAAATAAAATATGAATAACTCATTCTCCTCTCTTTTATCTTTTAAGACCAAGGAAAATAGCAATTTATATAAGTTGAATGTGCCGGGAATCATATAGTTTGAGAGCTAAATTGAGTTTTAAGGTTTGATTAATTAGAGTTTTACTTTCAAAACAAATGTGAAATTATAAAATTTTAAACTTTTTCTTTTAGATATAATACATAAAATTATTATTTAATTTGATTACCTGATATTTATCTATATTATCTAAATTAAAATCTACATAAGTAGACAGTTAAATTCATATAAAGTTAATCAAATAAACATAAGCGTTTTATGTAGGCTATAACATTATTCACGTCAGATGTTATGTAGGACGCGAATCATCACAAATAATGAGAAATTTGTCAACAAGAAAAATGAATCATTCTTTTTTAGGCTAAATAATAAGAAATTTGTGTCCTTTTTTTAAAACAAGGGAATAAAACATATTCACTTTTTTTTAATAGTACAATACAATAAAATAGTTTTCTATTTTTGGTGAAAACCAACAATTGTTCAATTTGATTGGACAATTGCCACTTTTTTACTTGGCATAATACATATATTAGACCTTAAATTTGGCTTCAAATTTTAATTTTGACCTCGAACTTTCATAATGCACAAACAAACACTTTAACTATTCAACTTTTAAATAAATAAACACATGAGTCCTACATGGCACAATACACATAGGACACCACGTAGGACAAAAAATGACATGTAGGATGACATATAAGACATCTGCGTCTATTTGTTCAACTTTATACAAATTTAAATGTCTATTTGTATACATAAATATAATTTAAAGTCAAATTAAAGACATATTTATGCATTATGCCTTTTTACTTTATATCTACGGGAAGGAAAAGCTTGCTAATAAAATTTTGATCATGTTATCATAATCAGTATTCCTAAAATTCACCAAAAATAATTTAAACCCTATGGGTCCTTCCCAAAAGATTGTTTGAAACAAGAGTAGGGGTCATCATCAATCTTTGTCTTAAAATTAGAGGCGTCAAATAGACAAGTTGAATTAAATTTAAATGAATTTTGTGATTGATTAAAAAGTTACTTTACTTGATATAAATTGAATTGAAATGAGCTAAAATATGAATAATAACCTACTCTAGCTAAATCATGAGCTAAAATGTAAATTGTAACTTAACTTGTCTAATTCTTATTAAGTTTTAAATTATTTTATTTACTTTTTTCATAATTTTCTAATTTTTAATAAAACACACACACACATATATATATATATATATATATATTAGCCTCAATAAACTGTAAAATTTCAAACTGTACCAATTGAACATGATGTGTATAACTAATAAATTGAGCTCATATATTTATATATTTTATGTTTTAACTTAATTAAAAATACAATATAGATTTAATAGGGATGTAGATGAGTGTCATCTTAGCAAAATTCATATCTATTACAAAGATGCATGCAATGCTATATAGTTTCATAAGTGGTGGAGATGTCATTACCCTTATGTGTTAATTAAGTTGACATATTTACAAATTCGTGATTAACTTAACTATCTAATTAGTACATGTTTTTGAAAATGCCATATAGCTTTAGAAAATGTCATTACTCCCTCATTTTAGCAAAAAATCACGTCTATTATGAAGTTGGAATTTAATATAATTTTAGAAGGGGTGTAGATGTCATTACTCTCTTCGTTAATAAGTGTCGTCTTAAAAAAAATCATGTCCATTAAGTAGATGAAGTAAAACGATATAAGCGAAAAATATGATAGTACTAAGTTTTATCTTCAATTATTTTATCAAGAAACCACTTGCTTTGAAACTATTATTATTAGGCCAAAAAGCTAAAGAAATAAGTGTGTTTGGTTCACAACATATTTGGATGGGTTTAAAAGCTGGTCAAACTGACTTAAAAGTCAATTATTGACTTATTAGAGTATTTGACAATTATCAAATGATTTATTTTAAACCAAAAGCTAAAAGTTAGGTGAGAGATGTTTTTTTTTCAACTTAAAATTCATTTTATTTGACCAAGTATATTACCTTTTTGCCCTTAATTTTTTTAATTATTTATTATTATTTTATTTTTTTTATTTTTTAAATTATTAGTATTTATTTATTAGTATTTATATTTATTATAATAATAATAATTATTATTTTTATTTTTATTATTGTTATTATTATTTTACTATTTTTATTTTTATTATTATATATTATTATTATTATTTATAAATAATTTGTGATGATAAAGAAATATGTGAATGATAGGAAATATTATTACTTATGGATGTAAAATATAAATTAATTTTGTTTTAATTGTTTTTAAGTATAAAAACCTTAATTAATCAATTTTTATCATGTTAACAGTTTTAAGGATATTTCAGACATTTTGATTTAAAAAGTGATTATCAACACTTATTTGTCAAACACATCAATAACTTTTTTTTTTCAACTTCAACATTTTTATCCAAACACATAACCACTTATTTTAAAAATAAGTTTCACTACTTTCAAAAATACTTTTTAAAATTATTTTTTTAAATCAATCCAAACGGATTGAGTTCTTATTCACACTTGACACGTAGGGCTCTCATCCAAATCACCTACTATTTCCCGTGACTTCCGCATGCCTCGCCGCTCTATGTCACCGGCTATTTCCGGTCTTTTGACCTCCCATTAATGCTCCTACTTAATTAATAATTACGTATTCTTAATGATCTTCATTTTGTTTTATACGAGTTAGTTTGATTTTTAGTATAAAATTTAATTAAAAAAATTATTTTTAAATTATATTTTTGAAATATGTTATAGATATTTATATGAAGATAAATTATTTTATTTAAGAATAAAGTATGTTTTCAATGTTTATTATTTGTCCACTTTTAAATGATAAACATATTAAGAAAACAATTTATTGACATAATGAGTTATAATTTTATCCATATTAATTATGAAGTGGATAATTAAAAATATCAGATTTTCAAAAATTTCATACCTTTTTAAAAGTAATTAATTAAAGGTATGATAGGTAAAAATATTTATCCTTTCTTGATTTGTCGATAGACAAGTTAAAAAAGAAAATTGACAAGTAATTAGAAATAAATAAAGTATATTTTAAAACTAAACTATTACCAAATATAAAAATATATTATTCTT